AACAAGTGCCTTACTAGTAGTAACAAGAACGCTACTAGTAACAAGAAGCTACTAGTAACAAGTGCATCGCTTCTAGTAACAAGTGCCTTACTAGTAGTAACAAGAACGCTACTAGTAACAAGAACGCTACTAGTAACAAGAAGCTACTAGTAACAAGTGCATCGCTTCTAGTAACAAGTGCCTTCCTAGTAGTAACAAGAACGCTACTAGTAACAAGAAGCTACTAGTAGCAAGTGCATCGCTTCTAGTAACAAGTGCCTTACTAGTAGTAACAAGAACGCTACTATTAACTTGAACTTGACTCATACACAAGTGTAAACGATGCAGAAAGTCCCACCTTCAGGCCAGTGTCTGGCACTTGTGTTGCAGCCAACATTGATGGAATCCAATGAATATTAATTGTGTTCTTTTCTCTGCGAGGCTGTTGCCCTTTGATACATAAAACCTCCAAAACACTTGCCCTTTGTGATACTTTAGAGCACTTGCTGCGGCTCAGCTGTGAAGAATTTCCACTCGGTCTAGAACCTTTCAACCAAGAGAAGAACGAAGAAATGCGGAGTCACCCGCTCGTTTCTGCTCACGCACTGACCACGCAGCTGAGTTTTGCAAGCACTTTGGTGCAAAGCTGAGGGAAAACATGGCCACTTGCAGATCGAGTTCTGCGAACGAATATCCCCTCACTTTGAGCGAGGCTGTTTGCGCCTGTACTGCGCGTTCGAACGATCCCAATGGGCTCCATGCAGTCAGAACTTGACTCTGTTCACCGTGTCTTGGCACTTTAAGTGTCCGGGTGAAACCTACGCGCCGAAGGTCATGCCGGACATCCTCCGGTAGATCCGCCGGTAGTCCAGGGGGAACAACGCTTTCATAAATTCCATCTCACTGATGCCGCCATCTCCATTCGAGTCGAAAGCCATGAAGAGCTCTGACGCCTGCGGTCAAGCGTACAGGCAAAACTCGGACATATCACGATCCTCAACTACCCATCACCAGTAGGGTCGGTGAGCAAATTGGAATGGGAAGTGCCGATTTGTCCAGCATGTGGTGTGTGGTATTTGGATGTATTTGGTGGCTTGTGAAGTATTTGTGAAGAGTCATGTGACTTGTTATACTTCAAAATCAAGCGCGTTGCGGCTGCATGTTCGCATTGCGTCACGTCTCAGTGTAACAAGTCTCATACATTTTGCTGATCCAAAAACTACTTCTGCTAGCAATGGTTTGTTCATGTTTAAAGCCCTGTTTCAAACTTGACAAGACCTGTGTATTACATATGGAAATTCGTTGCACACCCCAGCCCAACCGCCCCGCTCACGCTTCGAAGGTCCCTATTTGTCCCCTTTATGCCCCTGTCAATCTAATGCCGTGGACATAGCACGTACCTTTTTTTGCCCCTCCATTGTAACACGCCATTAGGTTGGAGGCCATTGCTATTAGGAGCAAGGGCATCGCTACTAGTAGCTCCTGGCATCGCTGCTAGTAACAAGGATCTACTAGGAATAAAGGGCATCGCTACTAGGAGCAAGGACACTTCTAGGTTGGAGGCCATTGCTCTTAGTTCATCCGGAACTCCCCTTGACGAAGCAAAGAGTTTTAAGCACGTTCTTTGTACCTCGGAGGGCTTGATTCCAACTCTCATGGTAGCCACCAAGTCCTTGGATCTGTCAAGCTGGTCCCCCAGCAGTCACCTCTTGACAGGTTCGCTGACAGAATCAAGTCTCAACAAACCACTGTGCAGCTCAACATTGCATGCTTCTACACCTACCAAATCTGCATGGGAAGCGCTCCATGTCCGCTGAGCTTCACAAAATTCTTCCATTTCCAAATCACCGTTACCATCTTTGTCAAATTTCTTAAAGAGCTTCGGCATGTCTTCTGGGCGCAGGCAAAACGTCTGGACAAAACGTCTGGCTCTTGAGCTCTTGACTCCAAATTCCAAGAGTGCAAACTCCAAGACTCTAAGACCCCCACCTGCCGTGTATCCCAAATTTTTTAATCTGCGACGAGTCTGTGTCATGAGCAAAATACGGTGCCGGTCCGCCCAAGTGTTGGACATCGCATTGCCCAGCACCTAGAACAAGAAGCTAGTAGAAACAAGTGCATCGCTACTAGTAACAGGTGCCTTACTAGTAGTAACAAGAAGCTAGTAGAAACAAGAAGCTATTAGGAACAAGTGCAGTTGTCTGCTATTCATTTTTTAGCCCACCTCCCCTCCCTACTAGGCTGGAGGCCATCGCTTTTAGGTTGGAGGCCATTACTACTTTTCCAATGCTCAATTGATACCTGCAGCAAAGGAGCAGAAATGGGCATTGCCATGAATAGAACACTTATGACACAAAGCATTCCTGCGATAATTTTTCCGGGCCAAGTGGTAGGAGCCATGTCACCTCGCTGAAAGAGACGCAACTAGGAGCAAAGGGCATCGCTATTAGGAGCAAGGACGCTACGAACGGGGCTCCTGGCCTTACTACTAGGAACAATGTTTGCTGCTAGGAACAAGAAATAAATAGAATTATAAGCAAATCTAAATATAACAAGTGCATCGCTAGTAGTAACAAGTGCCTTACTAGTAGTAACAAGAAGCTACTAATTTTAATTCTAATAGCTTCTTGTTACTACTAGCGATGCACTAATATAGATAGAAACAATAAGCTACTAGGAACAAGTGCATGGCTACTAGCAGCAAGGGCCTTACTACTAGGAACAAGAAGCTAGTGCAAAACGATCGAATCTGAACTGTCGATCGCTCGTGCCCCATACAGCAGTAGAATCGTCGAAGTGTGGAATCAACGGTCAACTCAGTCAACTCAGGCCAGCGCCACTAGGGTGGAGGCCATTGCTATTAGGTTCCATTTTTAATGATATGCTACTATGTGTTCTGTCTCCTTCTTTCCTTTGTTTTTAGCCCTCTGCTCTGCTTCTGCGTCACAAGTCCCGACTGTGGTGACCGTCACCGTGCATTGATAGATATATTCCGAAAGAGACTGCGTTTGCTGTGGCTCCAAGACGTAAAGTAAACAGCCAAAGAAAAGAACCTCGACTTCTACCCAAGCACATCGAACTCAAGTCTGATTCATTTCGGACAGTTTGAAACAAACACAAAGCACAAATTTGCAACTGGCTGCTTTGCTCTTTGCTACTAAGCAACAATTAGGCACACCAAAAAAAAGCAAGAGCTTCAATGCATCAAAGGTCGTCGACAAAACATGCCTTGGCTTTCAAAAACGAAGTCATTTCGCTTCCAGCTTTGGTTTTTTGTGCTTCTTTTGTGTTGTGTGTTCTGCCTCTACTGTGTCTGTTCGTGTGTTTGTGCTTGTGTTTGTTCGTTGGTTTTGTTTGCTTGTGCGTCCTTTCCGTTTTTCATGTGTTTGCTCAGCTCAGGAGCAGGAGCAGCTGCAGCTTTTGAAATTTTCGGATCAGCTTCAACTGACGGATCACTGGGACAAAGCAGTAGAGCAGGAAGTGCACCGGTGCATAATTGGAGTCCATCTCAGGTGTGCTGATGCCGTAGGCAATGCGGAAGCCAATCGGGATGATGGCCAAGAAATCAATAATGTTGTAGGGATTCTTCAAGAAAGCCTGATGAAAATTTTCTTGCAGAAAGCAAAGGCAAGAAATGTACTGAAAGCATAAACATATGCAGCCACTGCCACATCATTGTATAGATTGTGCGCAACATCCCAAAACGCCAAAGCTTGCACAAAGGAATTGCCAAATGCTTGCTGCGCCACAAGTCTTTCGGCACTGAAGCACCAGTGAAGCATAAATTCCACGAAGAAAATTCCCTCAGTCCGCTTTCGCACAGCCCAAACGAAAACATCGTTGTTCTTTTCTACAAATTGGCTAAAGGACGATGCAAATCTGCCCGTCTGTCCGTCTGCCCTGCCCGCTACCTGGACTACCCGTAGGCCGGTTTGGGAATACCGTATGACTGTGTACGCATCAAACACCTGAAATGTTGCGGCTTCGCAATGCTTCAGCACAAAAACCATTCTAGCAGCAATCTAGATCAACGGTTTCCCTTTTCGCTTCAACGGCTGGCCTCAACCGAGATTTGCATGATTCCTTCAATCAAGCGCGAGACCGGCGGGTCTGCAGCTGCTTGCCAGATTGTGAATATAATCGTAAAGGTGATAAAATAATTCATGATGTTTGCATAGTACCATGCTGCTGCGCTGGAGTCTGGGTCCTGACTGCACTTGACTGTCTTGCACCAAGAACAGGTTTCTTTGCTCAACTGTTTTGCTCTCCTGCAAAAACAGCCAAATTCGAGAAACAGCAGGTTCTCTTCTGAAGAATAGAGAAATTGAAGCATTGCTCGGTCTCTTCATTGTCAATCGACCTTGCCGAAACTCAAAACCCTTCAAAGCTGGAATAGTTAGCAAGTACCAAACATTCTTGAACTTGGGCAGCAGTGCAACAAAGTCAGACAAATGCATACTGTGTTGCTCAGCCTGTTCTAGGTTAATGCACTTTATACAAAGGTCAAAAGAATATCATGTAATATCAACGTGTGTGTTTTTGTCCAAACATTGGAGCTTGGGAAAAGATGAAGCACAATAAATTATGTCAAAGGAAAACAACATTTGTACATAAAAGCATATAAATGCATATGTAAAAAATATCAGTAATAGAAACTAAAAAAGACCTGGAAATATGAACAATCTACTACGTCCAAGCGTCTTTTTCTACGTCCTACATGTCCTACGTCCAAGCGTTTCCAAAACGCTTCGGCCGCGTGACTGTTTGGAAGTGCAACTCTTGGAGCCTCGCCATCCTGTGCTTTGCAGCGGAGCACAGCGGTGCTTTGCACGTTTCTGTTTTTTTATGAAAAGGTCCTAGTAGCTTCTTGTTACTAGTAGCTACTTGCTCCTAGTAGTAAGGCCAGGGGCCCCTAGTAGCATCCTTACTCCTAGTAGCGATGCCCTTTGCTCCTAGTAGCTTCTTGATTCAATTCTAATTAACTTCTAATTAGATTTAAATTAGTCTTAATTCTAACTCTATGTATGTCTTGTTTCTAGTAGCAACCATTGTTCCTAGTAGTACGGCCAGGAGCCCCGTTCGTAGCGTCCTTGTTACTAGTAGCGATGCCCTTTGCTCCTAGTAGCTTCTTGTTACTAGTAAAACCAGAAGCGATGGCCTTTTCAAAAACACTACTACTAGTGTCCAGGAGCTACTAGTAGTAGTGCCAGGAGCTACTAGTAGCGATGGCCTCCAACCTAAGAGAGCAAAATGAAAAGAAAAAGGTCTACTTGGCACCAAGCTTCACTGGAACTAGCGAAGCTCGCTGAACTTGTCGAAGTGCTGCTACTTCCTGAAGTCTTGGAGGTCTTCGAAGTTCTTTGGCTGTCCTTGGTTCCACGTCTTTTGCTGTCCTCACAGAATCAGGTTTTCAAAACGTCACAGGATCAGTCTCTGAACTCTTGCTTTTGAGTGCTTCCTGTGCACTTAGTGCGACTTCTCACTTTCTCTGTCACTCTTCTCTCACTCTTCTCACGTCCTGATTCACGGAATAGTGCCGATGTTGTGCAGGAGAAGGCACTTGGCTTGCAGTATCTGAAACAGAAGCCGTGTCCTTGGCAAAGCAGCGTCTGCACATGCTGTGAAGACCAACACTGAAATCGTGAAAAGGAAACAGGAAACTGATAGTGTTCTTTGGGGGTAGTCGCAGGCCTAAAAAGGGAAGGGCCACACTGAAAGCGACAGTGATACACCCTGTAGTCGTGGTCAACACCCTGTTCACCGCTAGTAGTGTCTTAGATCAAATTGCACTAGTAACAAGTGCATCGCTACTAGTAACAAGTGCCTTACTAGTAGTAACAAGAAGCTACTAGTAGCAAGGTGCCTTACTAGTAGTAACAAGAAGCTAGTAGGTTGGAGGCCACCGCTTTTTGGTGCGCCTCTGTCTGCGGAATCGGGATGGGCACGTGGGTGACAGCGACAGGGCTGACAGCTGTGACACCTGTTGTGCCCGTCACTGCCGGCGTGCTGACAGCCTTGACCAACCGGCAGAGAAAGATCTAAAGGTCCAAAGCAAAAGAAAGAAAGCAAACCTCACATGGTGTAAGCGTCCTTGCTCCTAGTAGTAAGGCCAGGAGCCCCTAGTAGCATCCTTGCTCCTAGTAGCGATGCCCTTTGCTCTTAGGCAAAGAAAGATTTGTTCAAAAACTCTTTGAAGAACGCCAGACTGTCACTGAAGGCACTTGGCCGCCAGGCCTCCTGCGACTCAGTGTCGGAGAAGATTGGAGCAACCTGGGCTGCCTGATAAGGAGTCCGCAAAGAAGCAAAAAGAGCTGAAACAAGGTAGGTAAGACCGCTGAGGCCAGCTTTAAAGGAGGGTTCTATATCTTTGTTCATTTCTATTTCTTTGTACTTTTCTTCTTCTTCTTCTTCTTCGTCTTCTTCTTCTTCTTTTCGGACTTTCTTTTGAGGCTTTGAGAAAGACAGAAATGCACTGGACTCAACAACCTTGCCACTACTATTGGTCTTTTTCAATCTAGAAAGGTCGCAAAGAGCTTAAGAGGAGAGCGCCTTCGCTGGGATCAACATCTTTGGCGCCGCTGAAGGCATAAAGGGTCGTAAATTATCCTAAGCCACTGGCCGTCACAATAACAGCTCAAGGCCAGCCAAAGGCCAAGGCCAAAACATGATAAACATGAGAAGTCTGACTTCACAACCACACAAATGATTTCAATGGTCTCCAACCTAAGAGCACATATATAGAAGTACCGAGAGTCCTTCGGCGCTGTTGGGTGAGGCACTTGAGGTACCAAGGCAGATGCCTTGATGTGTTTTGGCGTCTTCAGCTCCAAGGACTCTGTGGAGGTCACGGTGGCCTCAACACGGACAAGAAGCTACTAGGAACAAGTGCCACGCTTCTAGGAACAGGTGCCTTACTAGTAGTAACAA